CTACCCTTTGGGGAACTATGTTCTCATTCTGGCCTTCTCATTATTTCTGTTACCCATGGATACAATCATCTCTTCAGCTTCCTTGCATATTGTCACATATTCCATCATCTCATTTACTGACTTCCCTGCCAGTGCTCTGTCCCACTGAACCTCATGCAGTAAATTCTTCATGCCTCTGTAGTCCCCTCTCTTGTAGTTTGGATTCATTCATCCTGCCCTTCCCGCTTCTCTCTCCACTTGTAACTCTACTACTTATTTGAAGATCAGAATCATGTGGCCACTGGCCCCGAGGGGTCTTTCATATGTGATGTTCTCAATATCTGCATTTCTTAAGGTGAATAGTAGGTCCAGTCTTGCTGGTTCATCCTCTCCTCTCTCTCTCTCTCTCTCTCTCTCTCTCTCTCTCTCTCTCTCTCTCTCTCTCTCTCTCTCTCTCTCTCTCTCTCTCTCTCCCTCTGGTAGTGTCCCTTACATGTTGGTACACGAGGGTTTCCAGTACCACCTCTATCATCTTAGCCCTCCACGTCTCTGGGCCCCCATGTGGCATCAAGTTCTCCCAGTCAAATTCTTTGTGACTGAAGTCACCCACAATCAGTAGCTTTGCCCCACTCATGAGCCCTTTTGGCCACTTCGGCCAGTGTGTCAACCATCGTTCTGTTACTTTCATCATTCTCTTTCCTTGGCCTGCTGCTGTTCTGTGGTGGGTTATACATAATTGCAATTACCTCCTATTATGTAGTATTTTGCCTCTCCTCTGCCTCCTCTTTGCAGTTCATCAAAATCCCACTGGTTTTTGATGAGCAGTGCCACTCCTCCACCCCTTCTGTTCTGTTTTTCCTTAGGAACTAATATTCCATTGAAAAGATTGCATCTGTTATCATTCCTGTGAGCTTGGTTTCAGTGAGAGCTATGATGTCCGGTGATGCCTCTGATTCTTTCGTGTCACTACTCCCACTTATTCATTATTCCATCAGTATTGGTGCACCATACCTTCAGTTTCTTTGATGATCTTTTCAATCTATTTTTCTTTCTGCTGTCTTTCATTGTGTGTCTTCCCTACGCTGTCCTGAAGCCCATTAATAAACACTGACTTCTTCCTCTCCTCCTCCCATTACTTTTCCCTTTGTGTCTGAGTCCTGTTTGTACATAGTCAATGTCTACCTTATTTTTTTCCTAGTAATTCTTGGTGGCATGGTCGTGCCTCTGCATAGGACCTGTCACCTTCTCTACCTTCTTCTCCCTCGCTTACTGCTATCCCTGCTCCTAACAGCTCTCCCGCTACATTCCTCGGCCTTGCTTGGTGGACTGATAGGGCCATAGTTTAAGACTTGTCTCCTTCCTTTCCACTGGGCTCCTCGTTTAATAGGGGTGTACCTGCTTAAGATGCCATGTCTCTGGGCAATAGCCCTGTAACTCGCTTCAGCATATTTACCTCATATTCTAGGGCCTGTTTGCTGGCTTCTGTGGCTTCAGCTTGTGATTCCCATTTCCTCTTCTTTGCCTCCATCCACTTCTCCATTTTTGCAGAAAGCTCACCTAGTTTGCTCTCCCACTCGTGTTCCACCCTTTTACATTGCTCTTCTATCTATTCTTCCTTGCCAGGACGATCTCCTTCTGATCCTCTGAGCCTTCGACTTTCCCTCCGAGCCCCTGTGTGTGTGTGTGTGTGTGTGTGTGTGTGTGTGTGTGTGTGTGTGTGTGTGTGTGTGTGTGTGTGTGTGTGTGTTCTGTGTGTGACTCAAATTCATAAAGACTTGATTGCAAACAACCCTACCACAGGCGGGGCTTGAGCTAGAGTCCGTTACGACCATGCTGGTGAGAGATTTCTCTGTAAAAACTTGCATTTGTGGTCACAGTGGTGCCTATGCTAACCGTTTTATGGTGTATAAATGTACATAGTTGGATGACTCTTATTGTAGCCAGCTGGCGCAGTGGCTAATGCGTTGGTCTGGAGTTTTACAACTTTCTACCGCGGGTTCAATCCCCGCCGTAGTATGATTTGTATGTGTGGTGTGTGTGTGTGTGTGTGTGTGTGTGTGTGTGTGTGTGTGTGTGTGTGTGTGTGTGTGTGTGTGTGTGTGTGTGATATTTATATCTTCCTATATATCTTTTTACACACACAAACACACACACATTCTTAACGTGCCTGAATTTGTAAATCCATACTTTTCACACTCCATTCCATTCTACCCATCCTTCTTTCCCCATCTTACCAAAGCTGTGGCTGTAATTCGACTTGGACTTTTCACATGAATCATACCTGTGACACAACCACAACATATGTACTGCTAACATAGGAAGGTGTTAAATTAGATTTTGGGCTGTCTATATCCTAATTCTCCACTATAAAGTGTAATGTGAAACATGTTATGGAGAAAGTAACTAGGTCAGTAGATCACTAGATGCTGTCACTGATAGATTAAGGTTAGACTAAAAGAATCTCTGGCAGTACAGTTGTGTAAAAATGCCAGTGATATGAAATATGAGTGCATAGGCAGAGGCAGGACTATACACTAATATTATCTTCAGGGCTTTCAACCATCAACCTTTCAGATTTATTTTTTTACATTTTTTATAACAAAAAATATATGTGTAATGCTATAGGTTCGAACCTTTGAACTCCTACGAGGGAGGAGTATGTCTGGACCCGACCCAACCTTTCAGACACACCTCTAGGTAAACATTACAGGATATGACAAACGATTTATTGTTAATAAGATATCAGAAATATTAATATTGCATCCACAGTTTCCCTCGACTAGATGAATGAAAGGATATTTGATTAAACTGCAATGCAATAATGACCAAATTTTTTTGTGAAAATTGTGGCATGCAGTATGTACAATTGATTCAGCGTATGAACACTCCCATATAGGCTGCCTCCCAACCAGCGATCCAGGTGCTAAGGGTTTAATGATCAATAGGATGCCCTTCAGTAAATCAGTACCATGGTTCATTGGTCAATCACAGGCAAGCCTGCCAAAGCTGAAGCAATGTGGTTCACTTGTGGTAAGCATTGGCAGACTTGCCTAACCGCTGGTTGAGAATGGTGCACACACACTGGCTTCTGCTTTGCCATCTGTCACCGTGGTGTACACTTACTATTCTATCGGTACATATTGTACATAGTATACATTCGTGGCTATGTTGCCACGAATACTCGCCGGGCACTTGCTATGAGTAACATCAACGTTTCCACCATAAACACATCCTCTATCAAAGACCTCACTACTAAACGCAGCCCCACACCTCTAACTTCTACAGCAGGCGTCTACACTATCCCCTGTGGGTTCTGTCCCAAGAAATATGTAGGCGAGACAGGCAGAGATCTTGCAGTCCGCCTGAATGAGCATCGAAATGCCTCTAACAGAGACGATGTAAGGTACGTCTGTGTCCTCCACAGAGACTCCACGGGGCATTTGATGAACTGGAACGAGGCACAACTCGTTCTCACCGAACCAGACCTCAGACGCCGACGGTGCCTAGAAGCCTCACTAATCACCGTCACCGACACTATAGAACGCAACACTGGAAACTACAAAATTTCAAAAACATTGGCATACATGATACTTAAGCAGCACCAACCCAACAACACAGGAGTCACATGATTTCATCGTCTACTGGTCCTCATCATAGGCAGAGGTTGTTTTGATAAGGACCTGCCTCGCATGGGCCAGTAGGCCTTCTACAGTGTTCCTCCATTCTCATGTTCTTATGACATTCCTCAGGTCACGTGCGTCACATCTCACTCTCCGCCTATATATATAATGTCTTTCTACCTCTGTATGTTAGAAGTGATCAAGGTCCCAGGACCGAAACGTTTTCTAATAAATATGTTATAGTGTTTGCTTACGTGTCTTTCTAAACCAACTTGTCGGTATTTATTACCAAGGTTTTATTACATTATAATATATATATATATATATATATATATATATATATATATATATATATATATATATATCTCGTCTGAAGGTAAATATATATTATAGTCTACTATTGAGTTTGGTTTGCTCCATATTCCCATTACATGCAGGTCTCGTAGGCCATTTACTCGTGTTCTTAATGTAATCTGAATATATTGTTTTGTGTTCCACGAAACGATATACCCCTATGGGTATTTCAGTGTAAAGATATCCAGCTAGTGCAATAAGGTGGTGTTAAATACGAGTCTTGTCTCGCTGCGGAGCTTCATGCAATCCAACTTTCTTACCTATCATTTACAATATTACGAGAATCCATTTGAACTCGTATAATCTTGCAGCGAGTCTTAGGAAGTGCCAGTAGTAACATATTTGTGGCCTTATAAAACATTAGCATAGAACAAAAGACTCTTTCGTGACTTGACACCGATCATTTCACGAACAGACAAACCCATAACCCATATCACTGCGGCTCTTAAACCTATCCTTTCGTGACCCAACAACCACCCCATCTTGACACTGACCACCGAGTTTGAGCTGCGCTGAGCCTTGCGCTGAGCCCTCGAGGTTCGAAACGAGACACTGATACATTCCTCGGTCCTCCCGTCTTACGTCGTCCACCACCACTGTCCTCTGTCCCACCAGACGAACCCGTCCACCGACCTGCAGTGGCTCTCCGTCCTGTCAACAAGGAAGGCATTAGTCTCATTCACAAACACAATTTATCAAACTTTCCCTGATTAAAAAAACAGAATAACAATACATATGCAAATACAATCCCAGGTAATTTAAAGTATAAAAAATTAAAACAACCATTAATCATTTTACTTAAAAACGAAGCCATGAGTTATTAATCAAATTTACGTAAATAAAAAAGTTAATAATAATTAATCTGGTTTATATGCATGCAAACTTCAGATATTAATTATTCCATCAGCTCTCTCGCTCTCTCTCTCTCTCTCTCTCTCTCTCTCTCTCTCTCTCTCTCTCTCTCTCTCTCAAAAAGAAAAAAAAAAAAAAAAGAGTAAATCACAAGTCTGAGTGAATGAAAAATGGAAAGCTATTAATCCGCTTTACATCAATACAAAAAAAGTGAATGAGTTTGTATAAGACAAACAAAAAGTGAGAGCAAATATGCACACAGGAAGATATTTTCACAATTCTCCCCTCAAGATGGAAAGAAATAATGGTCCATTAGCCAGCACCTCCCAAACTCGGCAGGGTTCGCCTGATCTCAGTTAAACATTTCGTAAACATTCTTAAGTCAAGCACTCGTGATATAAAAAAAATGGAGTTCAGAGCATTGAGGAGTAGATGCTGATCGCGCAGCGAGTGTAGAAGTTGACTACGCAATGAATGTGTATGATAATCGTGTAACGAGTACAGATAGGTACCAAAAAGCAGCGTTGGATTTACTCTGAAGGCTATCCATACTTCACTTACCAGAGTAGCCAGTACACTCAGGCAGTGTCTACTTGAGAAACCTTCAAGGTTCCTACAAAGTCCTTTTGACTTTTAAGACAATTTCGAGAAGAATTCACGAAAGGCATGCGTGGAATTCCCTGTAGTTGGGTGTGGAATTCACTACAGATTCACAATAGAATCACGGCCAGATTTCTCTCTCACACACAGGAAGACAACTGGCTACTTGTCTTACCTTGATCCAGGTGATGGTGTCCTGGGGAAAGCCCTCTGGGGAGCAGTTGAAGGTAGCCTCACCACCCACGTCCACCGTCTGAACCTGTGGGCTGATGTGGGCGGTAAGTGGCGCCCACACCTCCAGGGTAGTGTGGGTCCTCTCGGAACCCACGCTGCTAGACACAACACACACGTACCTGTCTCGCCACAAGAGAGAGCGAGAGATAGCAAGAGAGACAGCGAGAAGGAGAAAGGCAACCAGAGCGGGTTTTAGAAGGAGAGAACATAAAGGGAATTAATACAAGATTTTGATCACTGATAACTATATGTGATTGATATGTATGTTGAGAGTACGAATGAGATCAATTACAGTATGTTGTAAATAACCAATGAAATATACTGTCAAAGATAGTGAAAAATACTGAAACATCCAGGGAATCCAACATTCGTGCTGTTAAGTAGCCAAAGTTAATCATCATCTTTATCACGTACCGTCTCGAACATTCAGTCTCAAACATTTAAACATTAAGTGTAAAGCATTGAAACTTATCCTTTATGATAAACATCTCAAGTGTCAAACATTTTAGGTGTTAAGCATTTAAAATGTCAATGACAAGTGTCATGATCCCAGGTGTCAGACAACCTAGATGCTTAATATTGCAGACACCGAACATTTCGGGAGTGAAATATTTCAGGTCTCAAATACATCATGTCGAACACCTCAGGTGTCAGACATCTCAGGTGTCAAATATTCCAAGTGTCAAACATATTTTAGGTGTCGAATACTCCAGGTAAGAACCCTGAAAGTAACATGGCTTGTGATCACATTCAGCATTACTCGTATGTGTCTGTGGCACACAAACTAGCTGCTTAAATAGCCAGATTAAAATCCCCTCTTCAAAAGAAGCAAGAGTTTTATGTTAGTAAATATTTAACACAGATATAGGTAGGTAGGTAGGTACGGTGTGTGTATGTGTAGGTGTGTATGTGTGCGTGTGTGTAAGTGTGTGTGTAAGTGTGTGTGTAGGTGTGTGTGTAGGTGTGTGTGTAGGTGTGTGTGTAGGTGTGTGTGTAGGTGTGTGTGTGTAGGTGTGTGTGTTGTAGGTGTGTGTGTGTAGGTGTGTGTGTGTGTAGGTGTGTGTGTGTGTGTAGGTTGTGTGGTGTAGGTGTGTGTGTGTAGGTGTGTGTGTTAGGTGTGTGTGTAGGTGTGTGTGTAGGTGTAGGTGTGTGTGTGTGTGTAGGTGTGTGTGTGTAGGTGTGTGTGTGTTTGGTGTGTGTGTGTAGGTGATGTGTGTGTAGGTGTGTGTTTTGTAGGTGTGTGTGTGTGTAGGTGTGTGTGTGTAGGTGTGTGTGTGTAGGTGTGTGTGTGTAGGTGTGTGTGTGTAGGTGTGTGTGTGTAGGTGTGTGTGTTGTGGTGTGTGTGTGTAGGTGTGTGTGTGTAGGTGTGTGTGTGTAGGTGTGTGTGTGTAGGTGTGTGTGATGTGGTGTGTGTGTGTAGGTGTGTGTGTGTAGGTGTGTGTGTGTGTAGGTGTGTGTGTGTAGGTGTGTGTGTGTAGGTGTGTGTGTGTAGGTGTGTGTAGGTGTGTGTAGGTGTGTGTGTAGGTGTGTGTGTAGGTGTGTGTGTAGGTGTGTGTGTAGGTGTGTGTGTAGGTGTGTGTGTAGGTGTGTGTGTAGGTGTGTGTGTAAAGGGGTGTGTGTGTAGGGTGTGTGTGTGTAGGTGTGTGTGTGTTGGTGTGTGTGTGTAGGTGTTTGTAGGTGTGTGTGTGTAGGTGTGTGTGTTGTAGGTGTGTGTGTGTAGGTGTTTTTGTGTGTAGGTGTGTGTGTGTAGGTGTGTGTTGTGTAGGTGTGTGTGTGTGTGTAGGTGTGTGTGGGGTAGGTGTGTGTGTGTGGTTTTGTGTGTGTGTAGGTGTGTGTGTGTAGGTGTGTGTGTGTAGGTGTGTGTTTTGTTAGGTGTGTGTGTGTAGGTGTGTGTGTGTAGGTGTGTGTGTGTAGGTGTGTGTGTGTAGGTGTGTGTGTGTAGGTGTGTGTGTGTAGGTGTGTGTGTGTGTAGGTGTGTGTGTGTAGGTGTGTGTGTGTAGGTGTGTGTGTGTGTGGTTGTGTGTGTGTGTAGGTGTGTGTGTGTTTTAGGTGTGTGTGTGTGTATGTGTGTGTGTGTGTTAGGTGTGTGTGTGTGGGAGGTGTGTTTTACTCACCTAGTTGAGGTTGCGGGGGTCGAGTCCGAGCTCCTGGCCCCCCCTCTTCACTGATCGCTACTAGGTCACTCTCCCTGAGCCGTGGGGCTTTATCATACCTCTGCTTAAAGCTATGTATGGATCCTGCCTCCACTACATCGCTTCCAAACTATTCCACTTACTGACTACTCTGTGGCTGGAGAAATACTTCCTAAATCCCTGTGATTCATCTGTGTCTTCAGCTTCCCAAATGTGTCCCCTTGTTACTGTGTCCAATCTCTGGAACATCCCGTCTTTGTCCACCCTTTTCAATTCCTTTTCAGTATTTTGTTTTGTCGTTATCTGTCCCCCCTATCTCTCCTGTCCTCCAGTTTTCGTCAGGTTGATTTCCTTAAACCTCTCCTCGAGGGCATTTCCCCTTAGCTCTGGGATAGTCTTGTTGCAAACCCTTTTCACTTTCTCTGTTTCTTCACGTGCTTGGCTAGGTGTGGGTTCCAAACTGGTGCCGCATACTCCAATTGGGCCTAACATACACGGTGTACAGGGTCCTGAATGATTCCTTATTAAGATGTCGGAATGCTGTTCTGAGGTTTGCTAGGCGCCCATATGCTGCAGCAGTTATTTGGTTGATGTGCGCTTCACGAGATGTGCCTTGTGTTATACTCACCCCAAGATCTTTTTTTGAGTGAGGTTTGTAGTCTCTGACCCCCTAGACTGTACTCCCTCTGCGGCCTTCTTTGCCCTTCCCCAATCTTCATGACTTTGCAATTGGTGGGGTTGAAAATCCAGGAGCAATTGCTGGACCAGGTCTGCAGCCTGTCCCGATCCCTTTGTAGTTCTGCCTGGTCTTCGATCGGAGTGAATTTTCTCATCAACTTCACGTCATCTGCAAACAGGGACACCTCAGAGTCTATTCCTTCCGTCATGTCGTTCACAAATACCAGAAACAGCACAGGTCCTAGGACTGACCCCTGCGGGACCCCGTGGTCACAGGTGCCCACTCTGAAACCTCGCCACGTACCATGACTCGTGCTGTCTTCCTGACAAGTATTCCCTGATCCATTGTAGTGCCTTCCCTGTTATCCCTGCTTGGTCCTCCCGTTTTTGCACCAATCTCTTGTGTGCAGTCAAGAAAATGCAATCCACCCACCCCCCCTCTCTCTTGTCTTCCCGCTGTCACCATGTCATAGAACTCCAGTAGGTTTGTGACACAGGATTTCCCGTCCCTGAAACCATGTTGGCTGCTGTTGATGAGATTTATTCCTTTCTAGGTGTTCCACCACTCTTCTCCTGTAATCTTCTCCATGATTTGCATTTCTATACATGACAGTGACACTGGTCTGTAGTTTAATGCTTCATGTCTGTCTCCTTTTTTAAAGATTGGGACTACATTTGCTGTCTTCCATGCCTCAGGCAATCTCCTGTTTCGATGATGTATTGAATATTGTTGTTAGGGGTACACATAGCGCCTCTGCTCCCTTCAATACCCATGGGGAGATGTTATCTGGCCCCATTGCCTTTGAGGTATCTAGCTCACTCAGAAGCCCCTTCACTTCTTCCTCGGTTGTGTGCACTGTGTCCAGCACTTGGTGGTTGTGCCCACCTCTCCGTCTTTCTGGGTCCCTTCTGTCTCCTCTGTGAACACTTCTTTGAATCTCTTGTTGAGTTCTTCACATACTTCACGGTCATTTCTTGTTGTCTCTCCTCCTTCCTTCCTTAGCCTGATTACTGGTCCTTGACTGTTGTTTTCCTCTGATGTGGCTGTACAACAGTTTCGGGTCAGATTTGGCTTTCGCTGCTATGTCATTTTCATATTGTCTTTGGGCCTCCCTTCTTTCTGTGCATATTCGTTTCTGGCTCTACGACTGTTCTCCTTATTCTCCTGGGTCCTTTGCCTTCTATATTTCTTCCATTCCCTAGCACACTTGGTTTTTGCCTCCCTGCACCTTTGGGTAAACCATGGGCTCATCCTGGCTTTTTCATTAATCCTGTTACCCTTGGGTACAAACCTCTCCTCAGCCTCCTTGCATTTTGTTGCTACATATTCCATCATCTCATTAACTGGCTTCCCTGCCAGTTCTCTGTCCCACTGAACCCCGTTCAGGTAGTTCCTCATTCCTCCTGTGTGTGTGTGTGTGTGTGTAGGTGTGTGTACTCACCTATTTTTGGTTGCAGGGGTCGAGTCTTAGCTCCTGGCCCCGCCTCTTTACCGGTTGCTACTGGGCCCTCTCTCTCCCTGCTCCATGAGCTTTATCAAACCTCGTCTTAAAACTGTGTATATTTCCTGCCTCCACTACGTCATTTTCTAGGCTATTCCACTGTGTGACAACTCTATGACTGAAGAAATACTTCCTAATATCTCTCTGACTCATTTGTGTCTTCAACTTCCAATTGTGGCCTCTTGTTTCTGTGTCCCCTCCCTGGAACATCCTGTCTTTGTCCACCTTGTCTATTCCACGCAGTATTTTATATGTCGTTATCATGTCTCCCCTGACCCTCCTGTTCTCCAGTGTCGTCAGGCCGATTTCCCTTAACCTTTCTTCATAGGACATTCCCCTTAGCTCTGGAACTAACCTTGTCGCAAACCTTTTTACTTTCTCTAGTTTCTTGACGTGCTTTATCAAGTGCGGGTTCCAAACAGGTGCTGCATACTCCAGTATGGGTCTGACATACACGGTGTACAGTGTCTTAAACGATTCCTTACTAAGGTATCGGAATGCTGTTCTCAGGTTTGCCAGGCGCCCATATGCTGCAGCAGTTATCTGGTTGATGTGTGCTTCTTTTGACATGCTCGGTGTTATACTCACCCCAAGAACTTTCTCCTTGAGTGAGGTTTGCAGTCTTTGGCCACCTAGCCTATACTCTGTCTGTGGTTTCTGTGCTCTTCCCCTATCTTCATGACTTTGCATTTGGCAGGATTAAATTCGAGAACCCATTTGCTGGCCCAGGTGTCCAGTTGCCCAGGTTTCTTTAAAGCCCTGCCTGGCCTATCGATTTAATTCTTTTTTAAACTTAATCACTGAAAAACAGGGACACTTCTGAATCAACCCCTTTCCCTCTGTCGTTCAATATCCCAAAAAAAGCCTGGCCCTGGGGCCCGCCCCCTGTGGAACCCGCCGTCACAGGTCCCCACTGGATTACATTACGTACTAAATCGTTTGTTGCCCCCCCTGTAGGTTTCTCGACCATTGCAGTCCCCTTCCTGTTATTGCGCTGTGCTCTGTTCTGCACTAATCTTTTGTGGGAACTGTGTCAAAGGGCCCTTCTTGAAACCCAAGAAGATGCAATCAACCCACCCCTTATCTCGTGTCTTACTTTTTTATTTTATCATAAAATCAGAAGGTTGTGCGCAGGATTTGCCTTCCATGAATCCGTGCGGGTTTGGGGCATTTATACTCTTGTTCCTTTCCCATTTGCTCCCCCCATCCCCTCTGATAATTTTCCCCATAATTTTGCATACTATCCGTCATGACCGGTCATATTTGTGCCTCTTTTTGTCTCTTTTTTAAAAATGGGGAAAAATTCGTTGCCGTCTTCCGTGTGGTGTGTGTGCTGGTAGGTGTGTGTGGTGTGGTGTGTGGTGTGTGGGGTTGTTTCGTGTGTAGGTGTGTGCGGTGTAGGGTGTGGTGTGTTGGTGTGGCGTGTGTGGTGTGTGCGTGTGTAGGTGTGGGTGTGTAGGTGGTGGTGTGCAGGGTTGTGCGCGTGTGCAGGTTGTGTGCGGTGCAGGTGTGTGTTTTGGTTGAGGTTGTGTGCGGTGTGTGGTAGGTGTGTGTAGGTGTAGGGTGTGTGTGGTGTGGTTTTGGGGCAGGTGTAGGGGGGTGTGTAGGGGCTGTGTGTAGGTGTGTGTGTGTAGGTGTGTGTGTAGGTGTTTTTATAGGTGAGGGGTGTTAGGTGTATGTGGTAGGTGTGGGGTGTGGTGTGTGTGTGTAGGTGTGTGTGTAGGGTAGGTGTGTGTGTGTGGTGTGTGTAGGTGTGTGTGTGTGTGGTTGTGTGTGTGTTGGGTGTGTGTAGTGTGTGTTTTAGGTGAGGTGTGTGGGTGGGTAGGGTGGGTGTGTGTGTGTGTGTGCATGTGTAGGTGTGTGTGTGTGTAGGTGTGTGTGTGTGTAGGTGTGTGTGTGTGTAGGTGTGTGTGTGTAGGTGTGTGTGTGTAGGTGTGTGTGTGTAGGTGTGTGTGTGTAGGTGTGTGTGTGTAGGTGTGTGTGTGTAGGTGTGTGTGTGTAGGTGTGTGTGTGTAGGTGTGTGTGTAGGTGCATGTGTGCAGGTGTGTGTGTGTGTACTTGTGTGTGTGGTGTGTGTGTGTGTGTGTAGGTGTGTGTGTGTATGTAGGTGTATGTAGGTGTAGGTGTGTGTGTATGTAGGTGTGTGTATGTAGGTGTGTGTAGGTGTGTGTGGTATGTAGGTGTGTGTGTGTAGGTTGTGTGTGTGTAGGTTGTGTGTGTGTAGGTGTGTGTGTAGGTTTGTGTGTAGGTGTGTGTAGGTGTGTGTGTAGGTGTGTGTAGGTGTGTGTGTGTGTAGGTGTGTGTAGGTGTGTGTGTGTGTAGGTGTGTGTAGGTGTGTGTGTGTGTAAGCGTGTGTGTAGGTGTGTAGGTGTGTGTGTGTAGGTGTGTGTAGGTGTGTGTGTAGGTGTGTGTGTAGGTGTGTGTGTAGGTGTGAGTGTGTAGGTGTGTGTGTGTGTAGGTGTGTGTGTGTAGGTGTGTGTGTGTGTAGGTGTGTGTAGGTGTGTGTGTGTGTAGGCGTGTGTGTGGTGTGTAGGTGTGTGTGTGTAGGTGTGTGTAGGTGTGTGTGTAGGTGTGTGTGTAGGTGTGTGTGTAGGTGTGAGTGTGGTAGGTGTGTGTGTGTGTAGGTGTGTGTGTGTAGGTGTGTGTGTGTGTGTAGGTGTGTGTGTGTAGGTGTGTGTGTGTGTGTGTAGGTGTGTGTGTGTAGGTGTGTTGTGTGTGTGTAGGTGTGTGTGGTGTGTGGTGTGGTGTGTGTGTGTGTGTGTGTAGGTGGTGTGTGTAGGGTGTGTGTGTGTAGGTGTGTGTGTGTAGTGTGTGTGTGTGGTGTGTGTGTGTGTGAGTGTGTGTGTGTGTAGGTGTGTAGGTGTGTGTAGTGTGTGTAGGTGTGTGTGTGTGTGTGTAGGTGTGTGTGTTGTGTGTAGGTGTGTGTGTGTAGGTGTGTGTGTGTAGGTGTGTGTGTGTAGGTGTGTGTGTGTGTAGGTGTGTGTGTGTGTAGGTGTGTGTGTGTGTAGGTGTGTGTGTGTAGGTGTTGTGTGTGTGTGTAGGTGTGGGTGTGTGGTGTGTGGTGTGTAGGTGTGTGTGTGTGTAGGTGTGTGTGTGTGTAGGTGTGTGTGTTAATGCTCGCTCCTCTACAAATAATATTTAATTATAACAGGAATTCGCCCAGTCATGCACACCTCACATTGCAAACGTTACATTCTCGGCACCGCTACATTATGCAACAGCAGTATTCTAAACATGTAATTAAATATTAACGCAGACCCTTCATAAACAAACATGGCCTCCAGATCATCACAAACATGGCCTCCAGATCATCACATACATGACCTCCGTATCACAAACATGGCGTCCAGAACAAGCATGGCCTTTAGACCATAACAAACACGGCCTTTAGACCATAACAAACATGGCCTTTTGACCATAACAAACATGGCCTCAGGACTAACATTCAACCTTCTAATCACCATACAGCCTCCAGACCTTCACGAAGCCAGCCCCCAGATCACAAATATGGTCTCCAGACCATCACATAATAACCTCCTGATCTTCATAAACATGGCCTCTAAATGGTCACAAACATGATCTCTCTCTGACCTCCATAAACACACATGAACGTCCCTCTGACCTCAACAAACACACATGAATGTCCCTCAGATCTTCACACACTAGAACGTCCCCTCAGTCCTTCACATACAGCAAAATCGCTGCTCAATCTGTAGTTTGCAGTTCGTTGAGAAATTCATCTATAAATTTGCTGGGAAACGCTGACTCTGCGAACTCTGTGAAAGTTTCTTTGATAGCTGGTTAAGCATCCATAAGAGAAGTGTGTCCCCTCTCCGAAGAGGAAGTTTATCGAGCTTACTCTCTTTCAATATATTTAAGTAACAGCTACAACTAGCAGTAAAGCACAACCTAAACGCTAGCAATAACCACTACCATTAATTCACGTCAAGTTCAGTACTTTCAAGTAACGATCAAAACTCACAGCAAACCCCAACACAAACCACGGTGCGGTTGGGGTTAGAGCTCATGGCAAGTCGTAAAATTCTAGGCCAGTGCTTTCTTTTGCATTATTACAATTTCGTGAGTCAACACGAACACTAGCAGTAACCACCAAGACACCTCAGGTTTTTTTCGATACAATTAACAGCCACAAACCAGCAGTAAACTACACAGACACTAGCAGTAACCATCATCATCAATACACCTCAGGTAGAAACCATTCCCCGGAGGCTCCTCGCTGACGATCTCCGGGGAAACATCATCAACTAAACAGTATACTCGACGTAGCGTCACATCAGGTGAGACATCCTTAATGAAATTCCTACCTGCCAGCGTCTGCTGCTGTGACCTGTCGTATGAGCAATGACCCGCCCACCTGCTGGATGCGACCATCTTGCACCACCGCCACCTCCACCTTCCCGGTCACCCGGTGCCACCTGCCGGGTCAACACGTTTCAGATTTTTTTTTAATGAAGATTACACTAAAAATTATCATTACAAATATTCCAAGTGGTAATATATATGTTCCAAATGGTAATACTTACATTCCTAGTGGAAATATCTAATTTTCCTAGTGGTAATACTTATATTCCCAGGGGTAATATCTATTTTCCAAGTGATAATATCGGAATTCCAAGGGGTAATAGCTATTTTCCAAGTGGTAATATCGATATTCCAACTAATAATGTAGATGTACCTTGTAGTAATATCAAAATTTCTGGTAGTAATATATATTTTCATAGTGATAATATCGATATTACTAACTGAAATAGGTGATCAAATTATCAGACCAGAAAAATTACGGAAATATTAAGAAAATGAAATATTACAATTGGGGAAATAATACTTTTGTGTTTGTTATTGTCAAGGAGGGGGGGGGGAACCTTGACGGCAAGGGCTCTTGATCCAAGGAATTGAAGTTATTAACCACCTATATTAATTGGATCAAATCTTAATGACATCCAATTTTCAGAGCTTTTTGACCCTTGCTGGTTTAGAGCTTCATTGTATTAATAATAATATAAAGAAGAGGAAAAAATGTTAATAAAAAGTGTTAATAGTAATAATAATACAAGAGGAAATAATGTTACTAAAAAGTAATGATAATTTCCTCCATTCATTTTCATTTTTTTTTAAATAATCGCACGTTTATTCCAAATAAAAATTGCATATTTTCTCCTTATAAACAATTTATTACATTAACAAGAGAGCTCAAAAAAAAATGGAAAAAATATGTTGACAGCTCGTACTCAAATTTTGGAGGTGTTATAACTTTGATATTAAATTTGGTTATGTGTTAGCAGTGGCAGAGTTGCAGTGACAAGCAGGTGTGAGCAGTGGCAGAGTTACAGTGACAAGCAGGTGTGAGCAGTGGCAGAGCTGTAGTGACAAGCAGGTGTAAGCAGTGGCAGAGTTGCAGTGACAAGCAGGTGTGAGCAGTGGCAGAGTTACAGTGACAAGCAGGTGTGAGCAGTGGCAGAGTTACAGTGACAAGCAGGTGTGAGCAGTGGCAGAGTTACAGTGACAAGCAGGTGTGAGCAGTGGCAGAGCTGTAGTGACAAGCAGGTGTAAGCAGTGGCAGAGTTGCAGTGATAAGCAGGTGTGAGCAGTGGCAGAGTTACAGTGACAAGCAGGTGTGAGCAAAGTGCCAGAGTTACAGTGACAAGCAGGTGTACAGTGCAGAGCGTAGTGACAAGCAGGTGTAAGCAGTGGCAAGTTCAGTAATAAGCAGGTGTAGCAGTGGCAGAGTTACATACAAGCAGGTGTGAGCAGTCCCAGATTACAGGACAAGCAGGTTGAGCAGTGCGAGTTACAGTGACAAGCAGGTGTGAGCAGTGGCAGAGCTGTAGGAAAAGCAGGTGTAAGAAAGTGCAAAAGTTGCAGTGACGGAAGGTGTGAGCAGTGGCAGAGTTGCAGTGACAAGCAGGTGTAAGCAGTGGCAGAGTTGTAGTGACAAGCAGGTGTGAGCAGTGGCAGAGTTGTAGTGACAAGCAGGTGTGAGCAGTGGCAGAGTTGTAGTGACAAGCAGGTGTGAGCAGTGGCAGAGTTGTATTGACAAGCAGGTGTGAGCAGTGGCAGAGTTGCAGTGCAAGAGGTGTAGCAGTGGCAGAGTTGTAGTGACAAGCAGGTGTGAGCAGTGGCAGAGTGTAGTGACAAGCAGGTGTAGCAATGGCAGATTTGTAGTGACAAGCAGGTGTGAGCAGTGGCAGAGTTGTAGTGACAAGCAGGTGTGAGCAGTGGCAGAGTTGTAGTGACAAGCAGGTGTAAGCAGTGGCAGAGTTGTAGTGACAAGCAGGTGTAAGCAGTGGGAAAGATGCAGTGACAAGCAGGTGTGAGCAGAGGGAGAGTTGCAGTGACAAGCAGGTGTAAGCAGTGGCAGAGTTGTAGTGACAAGCAGGTGTGAGCAGAGGGAGAGTTGCAGTGACAAGCAGGTGTAAGCAGTGGCAGAGTTGTAGTGACAAGCAGGTGTGAGCAGAGGGAGAGTTGCAGTGACAAGCAGGTGTAAGCAGTGGCAGAGTTGTAGTGACAAGCAGGTGTGAGCAGAGGGAGAGTTGCAGTGAGTGACAAGCAGAAACAACAAAAAGGCACAATAACCCGCACATAGGAAATAGAAGCTTACAACGACGCTTCAATCCGAGTTTTACCATTTACAAAGTCACTTTACCAAAAGAGAGTGAAGGAGCCAGTCTACATAGGCGAGGAGGGATCAGGACGGGAACAGGAGAGGAAGATAATGTAGTGGTGGTGGTAAGACTGGTAGTAGAAGTAGTAGAAGTAGTGATGGTAGTAGTAGAAAGTAGAGTAGTAGTATTTTACTGCTACAAGAGAGAAAATGGAGTGAAAAGAGGCAATAGTATAGGCTATTATATTTACTATTAGAGAAGAGGGAAGACGTAGTAGAAGTGTGGGTCAGTCTAAGGACAAGGAAAAAAAAAGGACTGCAGGAGACCTAAGGAGCCACAAGCGGTAGGACCAAAAACAGGGAAAATAGGGGAGAAAATGAAGGACATAACACACTTAATCAGAACAAAGGAAGACAAAGAAAGAAAATTAAAAAAAAAATGGAAAGGAGAAGAGGTGTGGAAAGGAGAAGAAAAGATCAGGTCAAGTCACGAGTGTTCTGAAGTTCGGAGCATTTGAAAATGTAATGAGACTAAAGGCATCTACAAAGACAAATCCACGACTAAGATGATTCATACAAAGAAAATTGTGTTTAAAGATGCTTCAACAAGACGGCAACTGTGAAGGCAAGAAGTAGGTTAGATAGTTTTAGCAGAGGACCAGTCAATAGGATGACTGTGATCTGCAACATGTCAGAAAAAGCATTATTAGAGTCGGCAAGCCTAATTTTTTTTTCTTTAAGTCTGTCAGAAAGAGAGCGACCAGTCTCTCCAAAGTATTGGAGAGGACAAGAGGAGCATGAGACTGAGTAGACACCAGGGGTATCTATGGCAGGAGGAGAAGTACGAATTAGATTACTGCAAAGGGTGTTACTTTGGCGAAAAGCGAGTTTAATGTCTAAGGAACAGAGAGTGTTTGAGATTAGAGACTGGAAATATAGGGAAGGCAGAGAACAGGAGATTTCACGGAAGTAGAGAGTCTGGGAGAGATGAAAGTCCGTTTAGCACATGAGAAAATAGTTTATGAAATCGGAAGGGTAGCCAAGACGAGAGAACTAATTACGAAGAGTGAAAATTTCAGATTCAAAGAACTGAGGGTCACAACTGTGGAGGGCACGAAAAAAGAGAAATATGAACACTTCTCTTGACAGAGGGAACATGGTAAGAAAAGAAATGAATGTACATGCTACTATGCATAGATTGCGATTAACGGAAAAAAAGAAAAGCCTGTTGCCTATTGGTATACACAAACATCAAGGAGAGAAAGCAAAGAGTAAGACTCCCATTCTGCTTTGTACTTGACGGAAGGGCCAAGATTGTTAAGGGCATCGAGACTAGAGTCACGGGGCCAAAGAGCAAAGACGTCATCTACATAGCGGAGTCAAAGGGAAGTGCGCACACCAATAGCAGGAAGAACAGTTTCGAAGTACAGTATTTTATAAAGGTTAGCAAGATCAGGGGATAAAGTAGAGCGACACCGTAGGTTTGAGGATCAAATTTACGATGAAAGGCAAAGGAGTTAAGAGTCTCCACAAAGGCGCAAAATGTTGATGATCTTAATTTTCTTAGAGAGGATCAATGAAGGGTTACATCATCTCCCTTTGAACTTACTGGCACTGGGAACTTACTGGTACTGGGAAAACTTACTGGTACTGGGTATTGGGAAGCCCTGGGCAGCACAGGGTAGCTCAACGGTGCGTCTAACGTGGCCGAAACGGAGGAACGTGAGCCCATTTGATCCTGGGAGGAACGGATGATCTTGGCTCGTTCACCATCAACCTGCAAGAAAGCGAATGTCTGTGATAAGCCCTTTCTTCGGATCAAACCCGCTTACCTAGCATTTCTGAACAGAGACGTAAAATTTTTTAAAAGACAGATTTTATTAAAATGATAGAAAAGCATAAAACCCGTATGGGTTTACATAGCATGTGGAGAAAGGGAGGAACAAAGTTTTGACCCAAGGAAGGGTAACTCCAATTTCTTGGATTAAGAGCCCTTCACTAACTATATTCGACATATATATATATTATATATATATATTATATTATTATACATATTATATACATATATATGTGTATTATATAAAATTTTATATATTATATATATATATTATATATATATATATATAATTATATATAATATACAATAAATATATTTATCTGATTTGAATTTATTAAAAGTACAATTCATAATGAATTGGTGTTCTCATCATAATTTCTGTGATGAAAAAAAACACATTTATGCACTGCTGCAAGGTTAGCAAAATGTATATACGTTTTGTATTATAATTTTTGTGTGATACTTTCTGAATATATATAACACATTACCCGCGTGTCCATAGGGGGCAGGTGTCAAGAGGGGGAGGAGGTGTCAGAGGGGGGGCAGGTGTCAAGAGGGGGCAGGTGTCAAGAGGGGGGGCAGGTGTTTAAGAAGGGGGGCAGGTGTCAAGAGGGGGGGGGCAGGGGTCAAGAGGAGAGGGGTAGGTGTCAAGAGGGGGGCAGGTGTCAAGAGGAGGGCAGGTGTCAAGAGGAGGGCAGGTGTCAAGGGGGAGGCAAGTATCCAGAGGAGGCATGTGTCCGGGGGAGTTATCTCAGGGTCTGGTTGTGTGTCCAGGACAGGAGAAAAGTGACAGGCTTCAGACTGAAGCAACTGTTTGATCCATCTCTTCTCGGTGATGTGTTCTCCTGTTTCTATCTCTACTGTATGTGTTTTAAACCTGCTATATGAAAACGTAAAGCACAGAGCATTTTACCTGACTTGAAAGCGAGGAATTAGACACGCGAGAAGCCTAGCGATATGAACTGAAAAAGCCATGGTTAATAATAATAATAATAAAAATAATAATCATAATAATTAATAATAATAAATAATGTTTTAAAAGTATATGATACAACGAATAGAGACCATAGCTGATATCAGTTACACACTATATAGAAAGCCCTTGTTTTGCAGAACCTTCCTGGCAAATTAGGTTAATTTTGTTCCCAGGATGCGACCCACATGTCAACTAACACCCAGGTACCTATTTACGGTTAGGTGCACAGGGACAACAGGTGTCTTAAGGAAACTAGCTCCAGTGTATTCAAATAAATATACCCAGGTTTGCATGTGTGTCTACGAATAAATTCCTCATCAGTATTGTTTACCCAAATTTTAAACCTATTATATGATTAAGAGAGAACGACTGATGGAAACCTCGCTAGGTGGGAAGGGAGGTCCAGGGGTGTGGTGCGTACTCTTACCTGCCAGCCACGGCCGAGATAGTAGTCTCGTCAGTGAGGACGTGTTGGGTCTCACAGTGGTATGACTGGAACTCGTCAGCCTTGGTCACGTGACGGATGTGTAGCTCTCCAGTCCCGAAAACAGAGTATCTCCCACCTAGGGCAAGAGACACATTAAGCGGCAATAGAAATTTACTCTCAAGTGGTA